AGGACTTTCATCTTGCCTTCCCATAGCTGTTAAATGTTAAACTTCTATAATGACCTTCATCTGTCTCCCTCTGTATGTGTTGTACTGTTGGGTGCATCTAAGTTTTCAGCTTTGTAACATTTGAGCAATCCGTTTCTTTATACATGGAATCCCCTTTGGACATCTTTTCTTCCTCATTACATCCATTTCTCTAGTCAAAGTCTGTGTCTGTGCATCCCGTGAAAGAGTGTAACTCTCCTGGTCTTGGCTGCAAGACTTAGCCCCAGGCCCAGGAGCTGGAGTGTGTGCATGTCACTTGGGTGGAATCCCTAGATTTTATTATGTATGCAGTGGGGTGAGATGGGGGAACAAAGTGGGTGTGTATGAACAGAATTTAATCTCAAAGCATTGAAGAATAATTTTATTCTCACCGGTTGCACTCAAATGCATGTATATTTAAACCTGGCTGCAAATGACGATGAAGCTATTGGTTTACACCTTTATTAAAAGAAAAAGAAACTCATTATTTATAGTTGCTGTAACTGAATTGACAGATGCCAATTTAACTGATAAATTATATTTGGTAAAATAAAGATGACATTTCTTTATACGGCTCGTGGTGGTTTTTCTGCAGTTGACAAAGGTCTGCAGTTGAAGCTTCGCTGATCCTATTGGTATGTAAAACACAACCCCCACTTCCAAGCCCCATAGGTGCTCTGATCCACAGTCCCTAAATTTCCCTTGTCTGCCTGCCCTGCCCTACTCCAATGCCCAGCCCTCACAGCTTTCTCCTATTACTAGGCCATGTGATATTCTCCTTTTAACACCACTCATCCTGCCTACATTGCATAACTTCTGGTCATGTGCTCACCTTCTCTAAAAGACAAAGTGAGTCACACAGGAAATAGTGCAGTTTGTAGAGCGTGAAAGCACGGGACTCTTAATCTGAAGGTAGTGGGTTCAAGCCCCACATTGGGCAAAAGATTCCTGCATTGCAAGGAGTTGGACTAGATTACCCCTCATGGTTCCTTCCAACTCCACAGTTCTATGATTCTATTTAAAAATCAGTCCCAGCTCTCCAGAATATGTGGGTTTCTGGTCAGCTAGTACTCACCCGGGAATATCAACCTGAAATGCTTCCACCGGTAGTTCAATGCTGCTTTAAATTGCTGGTTAAAGGTAGAATAAATAAGTAAATAAAGCTAGACAAAGTGAAAGTTTGATGACATTAAACAGTCAATGAATAATCTGTGGATTTGGAGGGAGAAGACAGCACAAGCTTTCATGGGCTCAAGCCCACTTACTGAAATGAATAAAGTGAAATCTTAGCTGGTAAGCATATAAAGTAGAAGTTAAACATCACCAGTATCAGGGGATTCATTATCTGCTCATCTTCCATGTGGTTTATGCTGACAACTCACCGATGGCCGCCTGCATTCTACACAGGACAGACAGGTCAGTATACAAACAAATGAATTGACACAAATCCCTCATTGGAAATGGCAATATCCATAAATAATTCCAGGACTCAGCTACACAGCTGCAAATAAAACGTTTTAAGTGTGTTTTAAGTGCAATATACAATGTGACACTAGATGGCAATGGCGAGCCTTATGGAAAATTCAATGTATTTTTAAAAAACCTTTTTTAAAAAGCATTTTCAGAATGTTTTTTCATTTGTGTGTTGATTCCAACTCTAAGTGATCTTAGTGAACTTCAAAGGGAGAATGCAACCTTGAACAACTGAATTACAATTCATCAAAAAGTTTATGGGTTGTATCCAAAGCAGATCCAGGGGAGTTCTGTTTCCTATACACCTGCATACCCCCAAAAGTATTTTCTGGAGAGTCCCCCACACCCTCCAGAGCTTGCGGGGGGGGGGCTGCAGGGGAGAGCAGCAGAAAGTTCTGTCCTGTGAGCACATGCCCCTTGCAATAGTGGAGTGGGAATGCTGGACACAACCCTATTTATTTTATTTATAGAATATAACACGGTGATGTACAGCAGTTTATGCAATAGAAAATAAAACACCTTAAAGTACAAAATTATTACAATGAATGGCTGAACAACAACAAATATTTAAACCGTTGCATAGTCTAAATACAAAGGTCTTCAAGGGGCACCTCTTGAAGTTCAATGAGGTCACTTGTGAGTTCAGTTGAGACAAAGGATTTTTATTCCATTCATTAGCACAGATATCCTGTCACTTATAAGCTCTGACTGTTTCTTGTGAATGGCTCCCTGCCACATGACAGGTGTTTGCAATGCAATCATCTCAATTATTACCAATCTGCTACTCTCAAGGGTTAAAGGTGTGCCTATTTAACGCATATCTAAGCTCTAATTATCTCTGACTGTAGCGTTTGCATTTAATTTCCTTTGAACTCCCATCTTGCTATTGTCTCCCGCCAACTAAGATGTTACTTCATTCACCTACTGGTGTGAAGTTTATTTCATAATAAATGTGTTGGTCCTCAAGGTGTCATAATACCCTGCTGATTGATGTGCTGCAAGAGACTAACATGACTACCTCTCTGGAAATCCATACCTACCAGCAATGGTAAATTATACAGATTTGCCTTTAACAGGTTTTTTTATGAGAGGAAGAAATGTAGCGCTCATAGCAGCTTTTTCCTTTTTTATAATTTTTATTTGATTTTCAAAAATAAAGAAAGAAAAGATAGAAAAAGAAAAGAAAGAAAAAGAATAAACTTTCATCAAAAGATCATATATATTCCACATATCGAGATTACTCTGAATCTCCTGACTTCCCCCATCCCATCCATGTGTCCTCTTAATTCTATTTTCAACTACATATCAATACTGCTCTAATTTTTCATTTCCCTAAGTTATCTATACTTTCTGTTACTGTACATTACAGGTGCATTTAGAATCCTGCTAATGTTTTGACCTGTATGCAATAATTTTGTAAATACATTATAAACATTTCCTATTCTTTTTTAAATTTATTGTCTTCTTGGTTCCTGAGCTTCCCAGTTAATGTTGCCATTTCATTTTTTTTTATATAAAATATTTATTCAAAATTTTAAACATTTAACACCCAACACATATAAACCCATCCCCAACAATACAATAAAAAAAACAGAAAAGAAAAAACAAAATAAGACATAAAAAAGAAGAAAAAAATACAATCAAAATCAAATTCTTAATATTCAAACTTTCTTCGCTTTTTTGGACTTCCTCACGTCTTTCGTTCCTGTTTTCCAAATTCATAAAGTTCTGAACAGCAAATTATCACCTTGTTTCAATTTCTTATTTATATTTTTCCAATATTATGTCTCTAAGTCTGAGTTTGTTTACCAAAGACTTAAATATTCAATTTAGGCATAATATTAACTAAAAAATTAACTTTTAATCAATTTCCACCTATTCTCAAATTCTTTTCAACTAGCTTACTGGTGCCATATTTATTTTTATTCTTGCATCCTTCTTAACATTCATACAATTTGCAATGTTTTTGTAAATAGTCCTTAAATTTCTTCCAATCCTCTTCCACTGCTTCTTCTCCCAGGTCGCGGATTCTGCCAGTCATTTCTGCTATTTGCATATAGTCTATCAGTTACATCTGCCATTCTTCCAGCGTGGGCAAATCTTGAGTTTTCCAGTGTTTAGCTATAAGTATCCTTGCTGCTGTTGTTGCATACATAAAAAAAGTACAATCCTTCTTTAACACCTTCTGACCGACAATGCCCAAAAGCAAGGCCTCTGGTTTCTTAGGAAAGGTATATTTAAATACCTTTTTCAGCTCATTGTATATCATTTCCCAGAAAGCCTTAACCCATTTCAGCATAGTCCATCAACTTGATTTGCCATTCTTCTTTGGTTGGCTTTTTTCCAGACACAGAATGATGTCTATATTCAGTTCTGGTCCCCTCACTTCAAAAACGATATTGTAGAATTGAGAAAGGTTCAGGAAAGGGCAACCAAAATGATCAAAGGGATGCAGCTCCCCTAGTAAAATTATAAAATGGTGCATGGCACAGAGAAAGAGGGTGGAGGAAAGTGTTTCTTTTAAGCACTTGCATACCCCAAGGACCTCCTCTCTCCATAGGAAGCTACCCAGACCCTGAGAGCATCATCCAAGGTCCTCGTTCATGTGCTTCCTCTATGAGCGGTCCGGAGGATAGCAACATGAGAAATGGCCTTTTCTGGAGTGGCTCCACTTTTGTTGAATCCTCTTCCCAGAGGGGTTCACCTGGCACCTTCATTAAACACATTTAGGCACCAGACACAAACATTCCTCTTTAACCAGGCCTTTGGCTGATTGGCATCTTATACCCCTTTTAAATGTGTTTATAGGAAAAGGGTTATTGGTTTGTGCTTTTTCATTCTTGTTTCTATCATGCATTTTGTGCTTTTATCTTGTATTTTTATGTTGTGAACCGCCCTGAGATCTGCGGGTCAAGGGCGGTATACAAATTTAATAAATAGTGCAAAATTCAACAGCCAGCATTGGAGGAGATTTTATACGCCAACACACAGTGCCGGATTTACATATAAGCTAAACAAGCTATAGCTTAGGGCCCCACTCTCTTGCCCCCCCCCATGTCACTATTAATATACTTCTTAATTGTATTTCAGTTCAACAATTACTTTGATAAAATACATATTTTGTTATGTGCAATTGGCTTTAGATACCTATTAGGTCCATAAATTACCATATAGCATATATTCAACACAAAAAACAGCGACAATTTGTTGTTGACAAAGGACAGCTGGACATATAAAGGGCCCCATGACCTTCAGTAGCTTAGGACCTCATTAAACCTAAATCCGGCCCTGCCAACACTGCACTATATAGACATCTATACATCGCACGAGCCGCGGTGCCTGCCTCCTGAAGGACAGACCGCGGCTACACTTTTCCTTCCCTAAAACACTACATTTCCCACGAGGCAGCCGCTCCGGCTTACGGATTTAATAGGGGGCGCTTCGCCCTATGCATGCTGGGTACTGTAGTTCCTCCCAAGGGGCGAGGCTGCCGCCCCGCCCTCTCTCACATGACGGCCAGGAGAATGCGGAAAAGGCTCGGCAGCGCAGAAGCCGCGGCAAGAGGCGCGCTAGTTGCAGGATGAAGATCCTATCAAGAGCTTAAGCCTCTCTTTCTATGCAAACGGCAATGCGAACGCTTTCCCTGCAAAGACTTTTTTGCTTCTGTGGTGCAACGGCGTGTACAGATTTGGTTTCCTCCCCAGCGAGCGCCCGGCTGCTGCTGACAGTCTGTTTTGCTTTCGCTACTCGTCGGGTGGAGAACCGCTCTTTGGGATCCGCTTGGTGCGTTTTAAACGCGTAAGGTAGGGCCGGTGAGTCTTCTCCTGGGTGCAAATAATTGGAAACGCTGCTTGCTGCCTCCCTGCGTTCAGTGAGAGCTGGACCTGCAGGAGGGAGCGGACAATTAAACGTAAAAGTTGCATACTGACCCCCCAACCCCTTGGTGCTCGGTGGCTTCGCAAGATGCCTGTTTCTTAGAGGTGTTTGCTTACTTCAGATGGAAAACCGAGAAGCGCTATGCATTGGATCGCCTGCCTGGGCTTTGGAGGCTGCTTTTGAATGCACAGATATTTTTTTCGCCCTCTAGGGAAAAGTGAGGAGTCCCTGCCTCCCACGTGGCTGCTGTCCCCTCCCAAGAATTGAGGAAACGGCGACGTGCGCTGCCTTGAGTTTACTTGGCTGTTCCAAACCATGGGCCATCACGACCATATGTTCAAAGTGCTGATTATTGGGGATGCCACAGTTGGGAAGACGTCACTGGTCCAGCGGTATGCCAACGATAGTTTCAACAAACACTACAAGTCGACGGTGGGAGGTGAGTTGTTTTGGATTTCTGCCCCACCCCCGGCCGCCGCCCCTGGAAAAGCAACAAGCTTATTTGCAATAGATGATGAGCTCTAATAACAGATTTAATAGCACAGTTTTAGTGCTATAAAAGCGTTGTGTATTGCAAATATCTGCCTTTTGATTGCATTCCCTCTGATGAAAAGCTCTGTGGAACTCAAAATCTGTCATACTCTTAGGTGGCAGGGGGTTAGTTCAATTAAAAGTGTTGCTCTCTTGTATTTTATTTTTGTTCCTGTTTCTTCGGATGTTGCATTTCTCACTTCCTCCTTTGGTGTTTCATTTGTGTTTGCACCTCTGTTGAAATAAAACCAGGTCCCTCCCACCCCCTCTTACTGGGTAGCAAAACGCCATTGAGATGTCCAGGTTTAGATATGTCCATAGTTACTCATAGCCATGCATGTATTTATTCATGCTCTGAGCCCAGCCTTGGCTGGGGAGGGCGGGGTATAAATAAAAATTATTATTATTATTTATTATTATTTTTTAATTTCTATACCACTTTATATAATTTTTTAAAATATCAAAGCAGTTCACAATCTACATTAAAACATCAAATCCAAAATAAAACATTACTGAAGAAATTAAAATGGTTTGTGGTGGGGCGGCGGCAGTGGAAGCTCAGGCTCAGTCACCTGGGTCTGCACGAAGAGATAGCCAAGATGATCTTGTAGTTGCTAGTTCTTAAATAATTGCAATCTATCATTCAACATTCAAGCTTTTTTGTTCCATAAGAGAAACTATATTGTGAAACACTGGTTCTCTGCATAAGGACTAGCCTGGCTTCAAGTGTGTGTGTGTGTGTGTGTGTGTGTGTGTAAGACTTACTATTTTTACCAGAATTTCACCAGTATGGTGCTTTGGAAGTTATGGCTCCTTCTGCTTTAATTTCAGAGCTGAAGACAAGTGTGTGGAGCAGCTACACTCTTCCCACTATACATGTTGGATTGGTGGTGGCATTTTTTTTTAAGTGCATCCTCTTGAAATATCTTCAGATTCTATTTGTGGAATCATAGAATTGTAGAGTTGGAAGGTGCCCCAATATCCCCTTGCAATGCTGGAATCTCAACTAGATCATACATTGCAGATAGCCATCCAACCTCTGCTTAAAAACCAGGACGGTGGTGCTGAGTGAATTTCTCAGGATTGTGATGTAAAAAGCCAAAGCAGATATCCATTCTCCTTTGGCTCCAATATGAAAGTCTTCTGAACTGCTTGTGTTTCTGTGGTAGATTGAGAGCCAGTTTCTAGAAAGAGAGGCCACTTTTTGGAGTGGCAGGGTGAATATTAGGATGGGACTTCCTTCAGCTATACCTGCTGAGAATCCCTCTTCACCACCATTATTAAAGGTGCAAGAGCCCTTTTTCAATGAGCCACCCTTTTCTAAATCAGAATCCCTACCCAGCCATTATACTCATTTTGTGATTTTGGGATAGTTAGCAGCTCTTAGCCTAATCTGCCTCAGAGGGTTCTTGCTTACAAGGGAGGGAGTCGTCTATTCCGCCTCAAGTTCCTTGGAGGAAGGATGGAATGGAAAGGTAATACGTTTGTAGCTCTCATGAATCATATGACTTGCATCAAAGAATTCCATAGATCAATTATCAAATCGTTAAGAGAAATTCCATCATATTTTAGGCCAGAGGAAATACTCTAACCTTGTGTTTTTGGAAAAGGGCGTTGCTTGCAAAGAATGGGCAGAGCAATTTTATACATCATTGGAGCTATCACCCATCTGTTGCTGTCCTGACTCATAGCAGCCTGGGCTTAATGTGTGTGTATGACTCTTTTCTCTTTTTTTAAATTATTATGCCTGGTAGATCTTTGTTTCAGATCTTGCCCCTGAAGGCAGGTATTAACTGGCTGATGTAGTTGATGGGTCTGATAGACCTCTTGGGAGAATGAAGGGGCTTTGGATCCATCAGATCCAAGGTGACCACTAACACTGGCCTGGATCACCCTGTTTTGGGGCTTACAAACAGCAGAAACACTGCCAGTGATAGATCTACCGCCTGGGGAAAACTCTACTGATGAAGATGTGCTCCACCCCATCCACTCCAGCCAGCAGAGCTACTGGTCAGGATTGCTTTGGTAGTCTCTCATTGTTTCCAACAGCAGTTTTTAATCTTGGGAACTCACGGCTGCTTTCAATTAAATTGAATCACGGCTGCTTATCTAGTCCTTGCTTTAACCCTTTGTGAAATCTCTTCCCTTCTGATTCTAAATGCCCCTAAGCAAGCGCCTTCTGAAGAGTCCTGTTCTGCAAGGCATGGGCTTGCTGTAACCCATGTTGCTTAATTTGCAATGATCTGTAGAAGAGGCAAAAAGTGGTCTATTGTGAAATCTAGATTTGATTGTTTATATTGGTAGCTACTGGTTAACATGATTTTTTGTTTTGTTTTCAATGAAGGGGAATGCTTTAAATTACTGGAAACAGTAATGCCTTTAAAAACTATTAAAAATGTGGGAAGGTGGTCCATGAAGCAGGGCCACCCAGGGAAAACTTGGAGCGATCTTGAATTCCTTCTTAAGAGTAACTCTGAAATTGTGGCAGAAATGGGCAAAACACTGCCACTACCCTTTTTTGTGCCACCCAAGTTTTGATCATCTGGGTAAAGTGCAGCAAGTGAGAGAGCAAGGGTCTCCATCAAATAAATGATATATATATAGCTGGCCAACCTTTAGGTGGAGCTCAACATTGAGCTGAGCAATGTACCCTTTCATTGGCTACAAATAATGCAGGTGTTCTGTAAAGCTTTGTTAAAGAATGGGGACTATTCCTAAGGATCTCACCTGGTGCATTAACGAAAAGCCTAACCTGAAAGGGGTCATGTTAGCGTATTGGACTCTCTTGTCCTGTCTGAGACCTTTTGGTCATTGATCAGATTGTGCAAAGTCTGGGAGGGAGATCTTGGGTATGACATTGTGGGAAATACATGGATTGCTGTGGGGTTGAGATTGCCTTTGAACAGTGTTTGAAATTCCCCAGGTGTGTTTTGCTACTGGTCCAGGTCCAGTTGCGACTACGTAAAGATTTCTGGGCGCTGGGTTGGCAATCACAGCTTAAAAACCTCTGCCTTAGTCCATAGTTAATACCTGTTCCATTTCCCCTGTGTGTGTTTCTCCTTCTTGCATACTGGGACAGGTGAATTGTTGTAAGAGGAAGCTACAGTCAGGCAATATAGTTGAGATCACAGAATCATAGAACTGTAGTGTTGAAAGTGTCATCTATGTACCCCCCTGGTGAATACACATACTGTTGTGGCGACCATAACCATAACCTAGGTTTAAGGTGCTGTTTGGCTGCCTAGCTTATATATCTGAATTTCTAACACTGCTTTTGAAATCTGTCCTTGCGAGACTGAGGGAAACCATGCTGAAATTGATTTACCACTGGTACACGATGCTGCAGAAACTAGGTCACATGGCTAGGACTCTAAGTAGGTTGTGTTGGAGAGGATGCAATCGATTTGGCACAAAGTTCAACATGTGGTGGGCGTGCCCCGTGGTCCAACTGAGGTGGGTGTTCCAGGAAATTACAGCCATTGTTAATTAGAAGTTTCATCATGACCCTGGCCTTGCCCTCCTTCCAGTATTTCCAGAGGCTATGTGAGGGTTGCTCGATAAAGACTGAATTTGTTATTTGCTGGCAGCCACTGCTTAAAGATCACACACCACTGGAAAGGATCGTCACAGTTTTCGATACAAGGCTGGTGGTCCAAGGTGTGCACATAGCAGAAACAGTGATGCAGAGACATTGAGTCAGCAGGTGCGCCTTCTGTTTCAACTTTTAAACACCTGCTGAAAACTTTCCTATTCCATCAAGGCAGGTAGTTAAGAATGCACAGTTTTCTGCATTTTTGTTGCAAACCACTTTGATATTTTTATGTAAGAGTGGTAATAGTATTTAAATATAAGTAAATGAGGGGTGAGAGCAAGAAAGAGATGCATTTGCAGACAGTTGAGCCATGTTCACGCCGCACATTAAAAATACTATGATGCTTCTTTGAACAGTCGTGGCTTCCCCCAAAGATTTCATTTGTCATTTGTTAACAATGCTGACAATTGTTAGGAGACCCCGAGACCCCTATTCACAGAGCTACAGTTTCCGCAGCTTCAGATTGCTCTAAAGATTTCAGCCAGGGGTCAGCAACGTGCGGCCCATGGGCCGGATGTGGCCTACAAAGACCGTGTTACCGGCCAACGAGCTGCCCTTGAACTGAGCCGCCCACTCGGCAAGCCTCCCGCGCACTGCGCCAAACTGGCACAGCGCAGGGACTCAGCGCAACGCCAGAAATCATGTCTGTGCACACGCAGACACTGGAAATCGCTTCTCTGCAGGCGCAATTTCCGGCGCTGCGGGCATGCGCAGATGCAATTTCCGGCATCGCGCTGCGCCAGTCTGGCCCACAGACAATCTCCATGGGAGTGATCTAGCCCATGGCCAGTAAACCTTGCCGACCCCTGATTTGTGTGTGAATGTGGCCTTGGGATCCCTTTTTGCATTATATAGCTGGTCAGAGAGGGGCTGTGCAGCCATCAGTCTCTCAGAACAACTTCTGGTTGGACATATTGTTGACATCTTGGGAGACAGTGGAAGAGTGAGCCTTTGGGAGTAAAGCCCAACCATTGGAGAGTCACAGTGCCTGCTGTGAGTGTAGAGACCGATACGGTAGAGACGTGTTTTATTGTAGGCAGGACATATTACTAAGTCACCTTCTCTCCTGAGTTGCTTCTGGTGTCTGTAAAACAGTTGGTGTTAAAAGGTAAAGGTACCCCTGCCCGTACGGGCCAATCTTGACAGACTCTAGGGTTGTGCACCCATCTCACTCAAGAGGCCGGGGGCCAGCGCTGTCCGGAGACACTTCCGGGTCACGTGGCCAGCGTGACATCACTGCTCTGGCGAGCCAGCGCAGCACACGGAAACGCCGTTTACCTTCCCGCTAGTAAGCGGTCCCTATTTATCTACTTGCA